TTAAACTAACTAACGTAACGGTTTACGTTTACTTACTACGTACGAGGAGGAAGGAAAAGAAAATAATACTATAACAAGTAAGTAACAACACCTCTCTCTCTCTCTCTCTCTCTCTCTCTTACACACACATCACAACACACTGTCACAACCCAACAAAGAGAGTAACACAATGCTGAACTAGCAATGACACAATCTCTCTCTCTCTGTCTAACAATTACAAAAGCTCTCTCTCTCTCATCAGAAAAGAATGTGACTCACAGTGCTTGAACTAGCAATGACACAGTCTCTCTCTCTGTCTAACAATTACAAAAGTTCTCTCTCATCAGAAAAGAATTTGACTCACAGTGCTTGTTCTATGTTGGTCAGGAGCCTGGAAGAGTCCTTGAAAAACAGGGTAACCACTTCCTCAACAAACCTTGGGTTGCTCTCATCCTGCAATTCCTCCAACTGATTGAACTGCTCATCCAGAAAACCCTGCAAAATACCACAAAAAAATACGCATTTTTTAGTCTGAAAAAACCTTCCACACTCATTTTCACCCACTCAAATTTAACAGGTGGAGAGACAGAGGGGTCTATGCCTGATCAAAGAGGCCGTTCTTGTAGAGAGTAAACTGGCGGTGCAACTGTAGGGCCTCCATGGCTTAGCTCCAAGCCAAAAGAAACAAAATACAGTGCACAATGAGGAGAGAGATTACAATACAGAGTTTAGAGACAGAGAGTAGAAAATACAGAGATGGAAGTGAGGAGTGAGAATGAGAACTTGAAACCAAGTAAAACCATAACACTGTATTTATACATGAAAAGGGGGCCCATTTTGCTTAGCTTTACATCAAAAATTAGGGTTTCTGCAAAGTCTTAAGAGAAGCCATTATCTTTTTTAGGGTAAATTACTAAAAAAACCCCAAGACCATTATTTTTTATGCAGCTTACCCCAAATTATTTTTTTTCTCAATTTTTTTTCCAAAATAAACTTTGTATGCAAAATACCCCATAAGAGAAAAAAATTTATTTTTTAGATTGAAATGTCTTTTTTGTATACATAAATCATTTTGACCAGATTTCACATTGGGACACAATAGCATTGCTTGAGCGCACATCACATTGTCGAAGCGCACAAGTGACACACCGCCTTAAAGACAACTATCGGATCAAAACTAAGTATTACTATTGGACCACGTTACACAGTGTTGGAGCCCTGTTATCGAACCGTACTTTTACACAGTACCGAAACCCTACCGTCAGATCACACTTATATAGTGCCAAAGCCCCTATTTTGGTATGACAAAGTAGAGAGACGCGTAGGTAAGGTAAAATTAAGAGAGAGTAGTGTAGTAATTTTTTGATTTTTTATTTGAAAGGGGTATTTGTATAAAAAGTGCATTTTGAAGCAAAAAAGTTAAAAAAAAAAATTAGGTTGGGTAAGTTGCTTAAAAATGTAGCCTTGGTTTTTTTGTAATTTCTTTTTTTTTCTAATTTTAAAGTGATATTATGCTGATTCTTTAAACTCCTAATTATAGAAAGAAATCGGAAGAATAAAATGTTTCCTTTTCCAAAGAGCCTCAACATCTAGAAGAAGCCCTGATATTTTTATTAATTTCGAGAGCAACCTCGAGTTTGTGGTAGGGGCAATAAATTCTCCATTGGAAAAAGAAAGGGCAACGAATCCAAGAAATTGCGATCAAATGAAATTAAGATCACATGCATAGATACCAAAAATATCAAAGGCCCGTACACCTACCCCTTTCACTTCTCTCTCTCGTTTTATATTTTTTTTATTTTTTTTATTTTTGTGGGGAGTAAATCAATAAAAAAAAAAACCCTTACTCTCGGTAGAAATTGAGCCTAAGACGTGCCGTTAACGTTTTAAATTGTCAAGGCGAAATAATTAAGCCTATGATCTCTCCCACTCTCCTTTCACCAATAGTTCCCCTTCATTAGCAATTGGGCTTGGGCGGGTAACGGCTGACATTTAACAGTACTACATTTCCAGTTTGGTTTCTATCATTGAACTATAGAAAAAAATAAACAATAGTCCAATCGTCGTTTGGAAAATCAATTTTTTTCTTTTTAGAATAATAAGTTAGTTTTTCAAAAAAAACCCTTATTTATTAAAAACTAAGTACTAAAAAATTATTTACATGCCACAATCAATTGTGGCCTTTAAATATGAAATTGAGTGGTTGAGGCCATCTCATGACGGGGTTTAACATTCTAAAAGAATTTTTTTTAACTTTATGGCACACTCTTAGATGTTAGATTTCATATGTGATGATTATGAGTGATTGTGACTTTCTTGTACAAAAGATATAAAGTATTATAAAATACATAGTAAAATGACTCGATGATTTTAAGAGAGGAGCATTAGGGTATTTTATTTTCTAAAATAAATTTAGAGAAACTTTAATGAACTATTTAAGGTTATAACTAATTTGTCCAATATCTTTCCAAAAATCTCTCTATTTTTTTAATATCTCCTCAAAAATCTCTCCTTGATTTTGAATATCTCTTCAAAAATCTCTCCCTGATTTTGAATATTTCTTCAAAAATCTCTCCCTCCTCTCTCTTGAGAGAGAGAGATTTCCCATAGAACAGTAAATTGTCTTTAAGGTGCTTTCCCATGAAATGCCACAATTTTATATATGAATCTAGGGTACTTTCCTCTGTGCCGTTTTCTCATGAAACAAACACAGGTCCAACAAAAAAATCTCTCCTCAGACTCTCAAAGATATATTGATGGATCAAGCATGTCCTCCTCTAAGTTATTTTTATTTTTCCTTTTTTTTTTTTTTTAATATATTAATAGTAGGGATGAAGGAAGGGTGGTTGTTTTATGTAATAGTGCTAGATATATTATATTAACGGGTGCGGTTTGTATAGAGCCTATTTTCAAATAGTATCAAGAAATGTGGTTTTAATATTAGAAATCTTTGTTATAGCCTTAAGATATAGTTTTATATTTATTTATAAAGTTTAAAGCTTCAAAAATAGTGTAGATTGACAGATCTATAAAAACAAAATCTTAAAAATTGACGGTTCAAAATTGTGCTACAAAATACACTGTTTCCAAAACTTGAAATCCATTTTTTTCTCTGGTCCATGCATATTGATGTCGAGATGGTCAATTTGAAGATAATTGGGCATCAAAATAAATTCTTCTAGTGAAATTTTTGGGGTAGGCTCAAATTTGATTGATTATAGCCTCGGCTCTATATAAACTTTTCCCTATATTAATATTGGGCTTTAGTTTATTACTTATTAAAATTTAAGTTTAATAAATTAGCACCCCTGCAATAAATAAAAAATAAATAGAGTAGCACCTCTGCAAAAAGTAAAAATAAATAAATTAGCCACCCTGCACCTACGTCTATACTCAAATCTTAAAACTCTTAAGTTATTAGTTAATTCTAAACCAGTCCCTATCTTCTCAGACAACCAATTTATTGGCTCGGTTATTTTGGTCTATTTTCCTCTATTTTCAGTTTTGAACAAAAAAAAAATTGATTTTTTGAGTCATTGATAAATTTATTGGCTTGATTTTTTGAAAAATGGGATCAGCTGAGAGAATCGGTGATTTGGAAAATCAATTATGATAAGTGAATCGGACCAATTTTGTGATGTATAGGTCTATATAATAAAAGAAATTGAAAAAAAAAAAAAAACAATAAAAAATATTATAATGTATGGGAACCAGGTGATCCTGATCATCCAGCTCCTTGACAGACTCGCCTGGTTCCCTGATAGAGTCGTGTGAGTCTGTAAGAAGCAAAGTAATTCCTAGTTTTGATGAGGAACAGTCTGTGAACTGATTCCCAATTTGGATCGATAATTTCCGATCTGGACGGCCAACTTTTAAATACTAGCTATACCTATTGCTAACTTGAGCAAAATATTCCCTGCTAGTCGTCACATTATGGAAGAAAAGAGAAGATATTTTGGATATCTCAATAGCTAAGAAAATTTTAAAATAAATATTAGTTGTCTCCAAGAAATTACTTTCAAGTAATGTTGTCACCTTATACAAATCATATCCAATTATAATTAGCGCAATCAGAAATGGATAGATTATCAGACCAGTTAAGGACTTGGTCCAGTTAAAATGTAGCTAGACCAGTTGAACTTGATATTTTTAAAAGTGAAAAACATAATAAAACATCATCATCATCATTAGAGCATTTTTCAACCATTTGTAATTAGCTACATGAATATTAGGTTGTCATTCTACTCTATTAATGATTATCACTAAGACCATAATTCACCATATCTTTTTTCACTGTTATTTTACGACTCGAAGCCATGAAAAATGCCCACGGTTAATAAAACAATGATTGAAAATATGAAATATATTAAAACAAAAGTAGTCCCCCATTATTTAGAGATTACGAGCCATGAAAAATGCCAATCATATCAGCCAAAAGGCCCAAAATCAATCGAGTATTGATCTTGATTAATTTTAGACTAAACTTTATTTCTTGTGAGACCATGACAATGATTAGAAATCCAACCCGATCTAGTCTATGTTGCACTGATTGTAATCAGAAAGAAAAAGCCCCTATTATGGTCAAATGGAAAGGCGAAAATCCACTATTAAAAATCATTTTCCTATTGATGTACAATTCTTTGTAGTTTATACGAACACAATTAAGTTTACCATATATATATATATATATATTAATGTATCACCTTCTAGGGCTACATCTATTAGTTAGCCGATTTATTTATCTTAAACAGTGTTTTAAAACTATGTGATCTTGATCTAGATTGCTGATTTGAATAGGAATCAATTGAGTGGATTTCAGTTCCTTTTAAATCTACTCTCCATAAATACCTATTTTAATTTTTATCTTATATATATTTAAATAATTTTTTAGATCACTGATTCAAACTTATCCAGATCACCAATCTAACTATCTACACATATCAGTGGATGTACGATCCTCCCCACAGATCTAGGTTTTAAAACACTCGTCGTAAAGTTGTATTTTGGATTCAAATTCTTAGAGATCCATGATCTATGGTGGTGTCTTTTTAGTATTAAAAAACAAAATAAATATTTAAAATTCAAAAGCTTTTTTTTTTTTTGTATTCTTTTTGCACCTTCTATTTCATACTTTCGCTACCCTTTTCCAACTTTTAATAATCTGCCATTTTTCTGTGGCCCAAAGTTTGTAAATTTTTTTATGGTGAATTCGAAATTTGTGGATTTTAGAGCAAATAAAATATTTCAGAAGAGCTTCTATTTTTTATTATAGCAGTGTGATTATTAGAAGGTATAATTATTGTAAATTTGCATGGGGAATAGGTGGTCAATAATGATTACGTTGTGGATTTGGGAGCCTTTTTAAGCAACTTCTGCATGCTTTCAGGCTCTCAGTGACCACTTTTGAGGTTAGAGAGATAAAAAGATGCTCATCTTTTGGGATTTAGAGAGCGAGATATATACGGCTGGATTTTTAGTTATTAAAGGGAGCTCTACAGAGAGAGAAATTCGGTGGCCACGGGTCGAGGCGGGCGGGTCCGGAGGCCAGGACCCTGACAAACAATTTGTAGGACATGGACTTAAATCTGAAAATCCTAGGACCCGGACCCAAACTCGAAAATATAACGTTGGACTCGGATCCAGATCTGACTAGAGCTGATCAGACATAACCCAAAAATTAAAATATATTTAACTATTTTTATAAATTAAGACACGAAAATATACATGGGATCGGAATCCAATTAGACCCAAACACGGGATCCAAATAATGTCCGGGTCTAAGATGTAACCCAAACCCTACCCACCAGGCCAATTTTTGGACCCAGATCTAGGTGGGGTCTACCCTTCGGGTCCCCGGTCAGTTGGTGGCCTTGGATTTAGAGATGATGTAAAATATGAGAGAGAAAGTGGGCTTAGGAAAAGGGGACACCCTTAAAAAACGGCCCCTTTATTCCTTGGCCCCAAGAGTCAGGGATGTGGTCTGGCATTTGGTTTTATTGTAAAGTGCCTGTGACACATGAACATCAGATCCCACTCCTTTGTGAAAAGTTAGAGAGAGAAAAGAAATGGACAAAAGCTGCTTGGGATCAGAATATAATTTCCTCACTCCCCCGATTATGATTCTCACTTTCTTTCACTATCATCCTTCTGATAAGAATCTCGACCTGCAATGCCTATGTGGTGAAGTAATCCACCCCAAAAAAATAAAAATAAATAAATAAAACTGCAAAAAGGAGAAAGAGAATAAATGCAGAAAACAAGTCATAATACAAGCTTGGGTAGTTTTCATGGAATACCCATTTATCTGTTAGAGAGAGAGGGAGAAGTCATAATTACAGCTATGAGGAAGTTAGAGAGAGAAAGAAGCATAATTACAGCTCTCAGTAAGTCCTGTGGTCATGCAAAGCCCACTAATCATGAGAGAGATAGAGAGATGGAGAGATGTCATGGATCTAGCGGTGGGGTGGGGTCCGGTTCGGATCGGGTTAGACTTGGATCCGATTTCACCGAACCCAAACCCAAACCCAAACCCAAAAATATAGTGTGGGACTTGGACTAAATCGGATTTAATCGGACTCATCCCAAAAATTAAAGGGGAGTGATTTCATGCAATGGTTGCATAGTAATATAATGCAACAATCTTTATAAAAACTATTAGGGTCATTTATTGGATCCAAATTTTAAAATATACACTCTTTTCATTCTAACGAACCATCACAAAAAATAATAATTGAAAAAGCAACTTAGACAGTATTTTTTTAACCTAATTAACATAGGCCATCCATTTTGGTGAGATGCTTAGATCCATGTCTTAGAATGACCTTTTTTTTTTTTCTAAAGTTTTTAAATAACTTTATTATCATTAGATTAACAATGTTAAAAAAGAAAAAAATAACTTTGAATTCATAAAGGCTTAGATCTTGAAATTCATCAAATAGACGGTCTAAATTCATTGTTGGAGGGGACTCATTTTGGCCTGTGAAAATTAGTTTTTTTTTTTTTAAATAATTATTGAGATGAAAGAGTGTGTATACAAAATTTTGAGTCATACAAATAACACAAACATGATTTTTTAGAAATGTGGCTGCATTATCTTATGATACAACCATTGCATTAGATGATTTCCCAAAAGTAAAACATCTATGTATTTAACTATATTTAAATATATTTTATATATTGAAATCCAAAAAATATTACCAGACCTTGATCCGACCAAACCTGGACCCGGACCCAAATATTATTCGGGTCCAAGATTTGGACTGGGACCCGACCCGCCTGGTCCCTTTTTTAGACCATACCCCAATCTGGATCGTATCTACCCCTCGAGTTCCCTGGTCCCAATCCAAGTCAGGGTCCGGGTCCATTGTCACCCTGCATGGATCTCAAAGTAAGTTGAGGTAGATATTGCTGCACTCTAGGTCGAAGAAGTTACATGTGAAAATTGAGAACTTAAAAACACTCCTAGATTCAATTTTACCCAAGAAAGTAAATGAACAGTATGTCCCTGCGGGAGCGGGAAATCTTTTGGCTTAAAAGAGTAGTTGACATCCTTGATCAGCTGCACTTTAGAGGCCTCATGCAAATGCCAATATTAAAAGCAGCTGAAAAACTCTTCTCAAACTCTCTTTCTCTCTCTCTCTC